GAGAGAGGGAGAGAGAGAGGGAGAGGCAGCTATGTTTACATGCCTGCCTGCCCTTCTACTGTGCCATCAAGAGGACAAGTTGCCAACCTTTCCCTTGCAGGAGCTCTCACGGGTGAAGTCGCAGGTGCCCTGAATGGCAGAGGCCTTCAGGGCTGGAATTCCTGGTAGCTGCAGTGACTCCAGTTTAGGGTTTAGGGTTTAGGGTTTAGGGTTTAGGGGCACATGGTACTTGTGGAATAGCACCAGCACCTTTTGCGTTTTTTGCGCTGAAGTCACACAGCCTGCCAAGCACATAACGAAATTGACCTAGGTCCTAGGACCGCGGCAAAGTGGCAATTTCTGCTCACACGCAGCACTGCCGCTCTGCTGCCTGCAAAACGCAATCCGCCAAGAAAAACAAGAGCTTGTGGCAGTTAATTTGAGGTTGTAGAGTCAGGGTGGAAGCTGTTGGCTGCTAGCCGCCAGGACTCCAATCTTTCCAAAACAGCTAGGGGTAGCAGGTGTTGAAGGTGCACAGCATCATTGCCAATGGCGATCCTTCGCATCAGCATCCGGCAGGAACGAGTTCTACAACTGCCGACGCACGCCTTGTCCATTCTGTAAAGACTGGAAGGGAAATCGGGAACTCGTTGTGATCACGTAGCATTGCATTGCGTATGGTTCTCGAACTTGGATTGTTGTTCGCTGTGTTTGCCCGTATGGCTGGTGCTTGGAGGTCTCCACGCACATGATTGCAGGACTCATGCATGCCAGAAGTTGCCCAGGCGTTCTGTGAGTGAAACTTAGACACTCTTCCGATTCACCTCGCTAGCTTTCACCCCTGCTTGCACCGAGCAAGCTTTGAGATGAGACGTTGGTTTGGCTGCACTTAGGCTTCACACGTATGCGGTGACTAATGTTATCGTCGTCATTGGCATCCCTTTGACCACTAGATGGCACCTGATCAGCAGGTGTACAGCCCCTTGCCGATTTTAGAATCGATATTTGTATGTGTAGCAAAGTTGTTATGCTGCAGCACTGTGCGCGTTTTGTGGTTATCCCTTCGTCATGGCTTCGTAGTGGTCTCCGTGCTTTTTTGGCAACAGGGAGTGTTTGCCCCTTCCAGCATGTCCAGTTTTCGTACTCGCATGTATCACAATTGCAAGTAGGCGCCGGCAGTCGTCTGGCTGCGGCTGTTTCTCAATGGTAAGGTATCATACATATCAGAGCTGCAGCACTGCAAGTGCGGTAGCTGCACGATTGACCTGTATTCATGGATGCAGCCGATGCCGCTGCAGAAGTTGAGTCGCAGTCGCGCACAACCTGGGAGGAGGCAGCAGCCGTCTTCAGGAGTACGGGGCATGTCAGCGTAATGCATGCAGCAGCACAAGGCAGTCGTAATCCTCCTGCAGGTCAGATTTGAACAAAAAAGAACCTTGCGTGTGAGTTGTCCGCAGCAATAAACGAACTTTCCACAGGACGTTGCCTGGAGGTGGACAAGGCAAGAGAGCTTCGTGGACTTTGCTGAAGCAAGATAGCGCTGTGCGCTTTTGCAATCTCGCAGCCATGTTTACAGAGCCATTTTAGGTATCGAAGACGCTTGAATATCTAACCCAGACAGCAGGCCTTTCCATCCTCGGTCACGATGTCATGGAGGAGCCTGTTCTGCTGCTTTACCAGCTCTACGGTTCATGAGTGTCCAGGACTGGGAAGCGCCTTACATGGACGCTCTGGCTGCGGTGGTGTCATCGCAGCCTGGGCCAGTGCTGGAGGCCACGGCTTTTCAGGCAAATTCCACAAGTCCGGCGTTGAGCTTTCTTCCGGGTGCTTTCGAAGCTCAGGTTGGCTACGGGCTGGGCTTGTCCGCTGCAGCCATTGCAACTTGTCGTCCACTGGTGGAGGCCAGGTACCTCCTTACGTACATAATGCAAAAATGCCTGCCCGATGGGCGCTGCAGTCGGATAAAAGGACTGAACGACCGAACAAGCCTGAAAATTGGAAGTTCAGGCATGCAGGCTTCTACCAAAGTGAACCATGGCATGCGCTTGGCACTTCGGACCTGGACTAAACTGCTTCGAAATCTGAGCCCCTTGTGAAGCTGACAGCTCGGAAGCATGAGGAGCTTCTACAACCTCAAGACATCCCTAGACATGTGAAACTTTCCTTTGGAATCTGAGGATCAACGTGGCGTAGAAGGGCATGTGATCTTGGAGGCGAACTCGGAGGTCCTCGGTCGTGCCGAGCTGTGGGCAGAGGAAGCCACGTGCCCCGGAGCAGAAAGTTGAGCTTGCGCAGGGCACGGCCTCGGGCTTTTGTCGCATCTGAGGTGCCCGACCGTCGTCCTGGGAGGATTCTGGCAGGATCTCGTTGGCAGCATGACGGATGGCACCTTCGGTGGTATCCTCTTCGATGCATATCCTCTTTCGCCCGGAGAGGCTGCTGGAGATGGGGAGGTTGGCGCTTTCTTCGTCGAGGCAGCGAGACTCCTACGTCCCGGTGGGGTCTTCACGTTCTACTTCGATGCAGGGCGGAACTGGATCGAGTGCGTGCGCTCCTTCCAGCTTCAGACCCTCCCCAAGCTGCGGGATGCCGGCTTCACAAAGGTGGAGCACGACCAAGTTGCCTGCACACCTCGACCTGGATGCACCTATTTTTGGAAGGATCGCTTTCTCGTTCCGATAGTTACTCGTTGAGGACTGGCTCTCGACACGTCCCCATGACCCTGACGACTGAGACCGAGATGATGGCAAGACCTGGTTGACAGGCTGAGAAGAGGCCATCCGACAAACCCAGATTGATCAGCATCAAGGTCATATGACTGGCCTTGCAGTGGCTGCTGCGGCGGCCAGTGTCCCGAGGTCTCCAAACGATGACTGCAGCTCGTCTCGCGACGTGGAGAACAGCAGAAACCACCGAATCTGCGAGGCTTTGAAGAGGGTTTTTCGGCTTCGATAACCACAGGTTGCACTTCAAAAAAAGAGCCTCCAGCAGCGCTGTTTGGACACGCTTCTTCGTCACCGGCGAGGTGCAGATGGAACCCGACTCCGAGAGCGTCTCTGAGGACTCTGCTCTGCAGGGCGGTTGGACTTCCCAGCATACCAAGAAGCCACCTACTGATGGAACGATGACTTGGCTGGTTTGTCTCGAGAAAAAGGGCATGCGCATCTATTCATCCCTGCAGTCTCCACATATTTCTGGCTGGTCGACCAATTGAAATCTGGACTTCGGGTTGGAGTGTTGCTTGGGAACCGGGATTGGAGCTAAGGGACCGCGCTTTTCTGAGGACTAAACTTGTTGCAAGCGTGGTTAACGAAGAAGCATTGCAACGGACCTAAAGGCGCAGCATTTGAAGCTCAAAGATGACATTGCAGTGGCCTGTCACCCGTTACTGTACCACCAGGGCGCATATCAAAGCCTGCTGCAACAGATGCCACTACCATCCTTATGCCCGCAATCCTGGGACACTACTGCTCCTGCAGTCTCCAGCTCGTTCTAAAATTGGTCAGCGAGAGTTACTCAAATTTGTTTTTCAGACTAGGGTCCCTGTCCCTGAACTGTTGTGAAAGCTTGCGGCGTGGGGTGCTGCTGAATGGCCAGCGGACCCAGCAGCCCCACAGCCAGGAATGATCTGCTGCTCGGCTGTGTCAGGGGCAGTCCAGGCAACTGCCCGAGCTTCTTCAATGAAGCAAGCAACTTAGTTGTGATGTGTGCGACTCCGTCTATGTAGCATTGAAAGCTTTGACTGGTACAGCGTGGATTGTTTTTATTCGGGGATGATGCAAGGCTGGACAAGCCTGTGGCCCAGAGGATAGAGAGGCTGCGAAAAGCTCGAGACAGCATGAAGCCCCTGCTCGCATCTTGGCCATCAAGAATCCTGTGGTTCGTGTTCATTTGTATATATATATATATATATTTTTATATACATATATATATATATATATTTGCATATGCATTGCATTATATGTGAGTTTATGTTAGTACTGAGGTGGGTAAATCAACTGATCATCCTGCGGAGAAGGTTTGTGCATGAGTGCCTGTGCGTAGTATTTACATATACAAAATGTATACATGCAGAACGTATGTGTATTAGCATGGCCGTGTATACGTCTATGCGTTGGAGGCCTTGCCACGACTTTTGTTGCTTGTCGAAAGGCTTGCAACAGGCATGACTCGCCACGTCGACTTTTCGGTGGATTCAGATGAACTCGTCTTGCTAGTTGGAGGTATCCTGAGCCTTTAACCCTGTGAATTTTCCAAGTGATAGAGCTCTGGCGTACATAGGATTGGTCTCTACGCTTCTTGTATACACCACAGCAATGGCCCCGCAAATTCAAAACATGGAGTTGGTTTAATTTCGGGATTGGAGCATGTTTGCTCGGCTGTGGCAGTGCATAGTTGAGATTCAGGATGCTGTTTGGACTCTCAGGATAGCGGTTGCAGTTCGAAGAAGCGGCTGTAATTCATGCTCTGCACACCCAGCTTGCTATTCTCTCGCCGAGGAGAATACCTACTCCTTCGCAAACAACTGCGAAACGGCAACGCCCCCGGATACGTGCAGTGCCTGATTTGCCAGCACTACATAAGATGAACCCTTACCTGTACTTTGAATGTGCATGTGGTCCCGAATCTGCACAATTCTTTCCCCGGCTTTTTTCCTTTTGGAGGTTTTCAGAGAGTTCCGTGTGGCGTGCGTCCACCTGCGCAAAGAGCGTGATGCGCTCGATTCTCTCGAGGAGAGCAGATTCTATTGCACAGGTTCGCTCTACCGTGAGAGCTAGACTTCGGGATTTCGGCGTTTCGAGACGAGGTCTATTCGTTCCATGCTGTGCTTTACAGTGCTTCGTGCAGCATCGCCGCATGTCCGGCAGGAGAAGAATGTGGCATGGAGATATCTCTGTAAACTTTGCAAAGAAAGGCGCGCAAGTGTGGCGCTTGTGGCCTGTCAAGTGCTGATCCCGCAAAGATGATGCAAAGGCCCTTTCTACATGATCGAGTGCATGAAGCATCTCGGCCGCGGAGTGAGCAGTCGCCCCCGACATTGAGAAGCAGTGCGGATTTTGAAGGAATGCTGCTCCCCAGGTTGAAGTGTATCAGCATTTGCAGAGCAGGCGCAAGTGCAGCAAAAAGTGAAGTGAACCAGGTGTTGCAGATATTGCTGATGAGTGACGCTTGGATGAAGGCGTTCGCAGAGGCCGGCATGTTATGCGGATGGAAAGGTTGTTCGACATGTATTTTTATTAAGGCTTGTTCACATCTCTTTGCCCGGAAACGTGGAAGAGTAGGTTCCCAAACTCAACACTTTGAGATGGGTAGACTGTCGTCAGGACGCCGAGTGCGATGTCGGAGACCTGCCGCCAGATATGCAAAGCGACATCAAGCGGAGGGCCGACGAACAGGTGCGCTCTCACTCGCGCGTTCTCGCGTTCTCGCTGTCGGAGAGTGCGCGTCGTTTCAGTTTCCTCCTCTCAACCCCTAAACCCCTAACCCCTAACCCCTAAACCCTAAACCCTAAACCAAGCTCTCAGAGCCCTATAAAGGCGATCGAACCCGCCGCCACGGGCTATCCGGCGCCTCGGAAGGTCTCGGACCAGGCCCGGCATGGACTCGCCATGATGCCCTGAGAGCCGTCGGGGAATGGGCCAGCAGGGCACAGCATTTTAAGATGCTGGGGCCGGAAGACATGGCCCGGAACACCTGCAAGGCTTCAGTGTCAAAGGCGATGTCCACTGCCTGCAGGCCTTCCGTGCTAGTGGCACGATTGCCGTGGTGGTCCAGCGCTGTAACCGAGCCAAGCTCCAAACAAACGAGGAGACCGACACCTGGGCAGCTTGGCTGAACTCGGCTGAGGCTGAAGGCTACTGTAGGGCTCAGAAGCCTTTCCTGGCTTTCAGGCGGAGATTGGCCCTGGCCTTTTTGTCGCCGTCTCCTTCAACAAGGGGGCGACCGAAGACAAGATCGCTCCTGCTGCGAGGCATGGCATTGTTCAGTCATTCAAATCCTGAAGGACACCGGCCCAGAGCTCCCACGACTCCACAACTGGACCCATATAGAACCACCGGACCCCAATTCGTGTCAAACACATAGACGCGATCCAGCCCCGTGAGCCTGAAGTCGATGTTGCCCCAGAGCTCAGCCGAAGCAAACATGTGGTGTACTGGTGCAGGTTTCTACTCACAGCGAAGCTCTCGCAAGCAAAGGGTTCGAAAGAGGTGCACTGGGAGATGTCTTTGGCCAGAGTTTCTGTCGTAGCTTACTGAATCCGGGCTTGCAGCTTCTGCAAAGCTCTGCAAAGCGCTTGACTAGCAGAAATCTACCGGAGCTGTGAGATCCAGCAAAGCTGGGAAGTTCAGCCTTCAGCCTACAGGCAGAGTCTGTGGCGGCGATTTCACAGCGAGGTGACTACCAGGCAAGAGGAGGCAACACAGGGGCCACGGCCAGTGCTCCTGCACCTCCGCTGCAGGGCATCCTCCTCCTGCCGCAGGCATTGTCGGCGGGGAATCGCACGTCGTTTCCGTCGTCGATTCGGTGTTTCACAGCCCCTGCTGTGTTCATGCGTTGGAACCAGGCTTCCCTCGTGTCCGACCTCAAGGACGCTGTCAAACACACGCTCTTTTTTTGGGCACCTTCCTATGGGAATCTTCAGCATCTACAGAGCGGCCAATGCCCATGTTGCCAGCTGTTTCGACAAACATGGCAGCCACTGTAGAAAGATGCAAGAAGTCAAGTCTTCGATGTGATACGCAGCAGCTGCTGGAGCCGTTTGAACAGGACGCTGATGTGAGGTATTCGCAGCAACTACAGAAGACCGGCGCCCATCGATTATACGACGCGTTTGTGCAGGCAGGCTGGGGGGGGGCTGAGTCAAATGAGGGCAGCCTCTCTTTTTGATGATCGAGTCCGTGGGTTTCTCGGGTCGGGTGCACGGGCTGCCAAGGCACTACACAGCACTGCCGCCGAGCTGGCGGGGGACGGCAAAGCAGCAGAGATTGTTGCAGGTCAGCGAAAGAGCAGTGGGCGGGAACTTGAGGAGCTTGTGTGGCTTTGCAAGCCTTTGCTGCTCTCAGGTGACTTCGATGCTCCGCAGGTTATGGAAGTGGCTTCCAATGGTCCATTCATGCATTCCTTCACGGTGTGAGCAGCCGGTCCATCAGCAGTTCGCTCGCCATGGCTGAAAAGCCTGCTAGCCTTCTTTTCTTGAAGTCGTTTCAAATCTACCCCCTGCCCCTTGCATCATCATTCCGGCGAAAGCCCTCTCTCTGGGCTCCGCAGTAGGCCTGCTCCATCCGGGCCAACGAAAAATGTCGGCGGAGGCTCATCGCGAGAGAAACAAGTCCACAGTATCTTCGTCAACGGCCCGTGTTGTCCAAAGCTTCGGCAGCTCTTCAGCTCTCATCGGCAAGATGCCTAAACCCTAAACCCTAAACCCTAAACCCTAAACCTGGAACTCAGAACATGGCGTTTGCAGTCATGATTGGCCTCCTTGGCTTGCGCACAGTCGAGACGACTCCGTGCCTGCTTTCGGCTTCGCCGTGCAGTTTTCACACTGGTCGACCATACTCCAAAACATTCCAAAACCAATTTCAATGCTGCAGCTTCTAAAGTCTTACGGGTCGGTCGCAGTAGCTGTTCAGCAGTAAGGTCGTCTTCAGAACTCTCGCAGTTCCAAGATCTCGATCTGTTTGGTAGCCTCACTCTCGACTCGTCACCCCATGTGCCATGGTGGCCAGTTGTGTGAGCTGTCTCTCGATCGGAAGCCGCAAGGCGGGCTAGTATGGGCTTGTGCTTGGTGCCTGAGGCTGATGTCGGGATGTTCCTTTCCATGCGGGTGAGTGTTTGTGCGGCCGCAGGCTGCGAGAGAGCGCAGCGATTCTATCGATAGCCCCAGGGAGGCGGCGAAGCAAGTTCGCCTTCCCGCTGACATGAGCGACAGAAGTGTCCGTTTCTCGGCCTGGATCTTTTGTGCATCGAGAGCACGTGGGAAGTAATAAATGTTCGCAGGAGTCCTCACGTTTTTTGCGCGTAAACCTTCTTGAGAAAAATGGCACACTGGTAATCCAATTGCATGCACTGGTGCCAGTTAGACAGGCTGGCTGCATGAGCATGTCTTGCCAGATGAGGTAAGAAGCCCGCGAGCAAGGGTTCTTCGCCAGGGTCCTCGACACACAGTGGTTCGACCACGCAGGACCATGAGCTCATCTCAACCGAGTACGACTTTGCCACCTTCCCGGCCACTGTCCACGTAAGGAACCTTCCGATTGTCGTGTTCGATGACGAAGTGGATGAACAGATGGTTTGGGACTCTGGTGTCGTTAAAGATGGCGTGGTTCAACACGCGCCCGGACCACCAGACGTTCGGGTGAAGAACCCTGTGGTAATGTCGAACGCCTACAGAGGCTTCGTCGTCCAGCCGCATGAAGTAAGATACTTGCACTACCGAGATGTTGGCATAATATTTGCTCGCCCACTTGGTGGTCGCTTCATGCAGCCCAGTATCGACACCGTCCTTGTCTGTCGGGCTCTAGTCGACTGCCTGGGGGAGATGAAGCAGGTGAAGCGAGTCATTGATGTTGGAAGCGGCTCTGGGCTGATAGGGAAGTTTGCAGCACATTACGCGCAAGGAGACGGAGAATTAGAGGTTACTCTGGTAGATATTGACCCCGTCGCTTTCAAGTACTACCAGAGCAATACTTTCAATGCGCAGAATGTGGTTGGCGCTGCTGGTCGTTCCATAGATTGGAAGTTTCGTGCAGAGGATGCGGTGGCTCTTCTCAACGACGATGCAGCTTTTGACCTTGTCGTCTCGAATCCGCCTTACATCCCAACCAAAGGCGAGGCAACGAGCAGCAGTTTGTCACCTTTGTCCGGAGGCTTCTGGGAGGGGGTCGGTCTGGTCGCATATCTCCTGAAGCTGATCTCCGAGAGGCCTTCGGGACCAGCACGCCGGCTGGCAGCAAACATCTGCAGCTTTTAAGCGCAGAAATAGGACTTTCCGAAAATAAGGGGTACCTTATTTTGGGGTCCTTATAATAGGGATCCTATTATTTGGGGTACTATATTAGGGTCCCTATTTTGGGAAACCCCCAAATCTCGACTCTCGGAGCATCTGGCATGCGACATCTGAGGCCTGGTGATGATGATCTCTTCCCTGACGCTGAAGTCGCCTGCCATCATCAATGCCCTTGAAGCTGCTGAGAAAAGAGGCTGTAAGCTCCGAGTCCTCTTGGAAAGGGAGATCGCCACTCGGCAAGAGGCAAGTGCAAGGCTCTTTTCTGACGGTGGAATGAATCGCATCGGTCCCCTAAGGGCTGGAAAGCCTGGTACGCCGGCCCCGCGGCCCTGGACCACCTGCTTGCAAGTCAGAAAGAACTGCGCGATCGCCGCGGCTCCTCTGAAGTTAGACGACGGCGAAGTTGCGGCTCAAAGTCCGCAGAGAATTATCATGATGACCGTGATGATCACGGTGATGGTATGGTGGTGCGGTGGGTGGTAACGATGACGCTGCCAGGACTGTCAGTGACCAGGTCGTCGTCGTGATGGTAACAGCGCGACGATGGGAAAGTTCGCGGGTGTGACGGCCCCAAGCCCGAAACTCTGACACGTCCCTGCAAACGTCTCGGAGCTTGACTCCCCGGCTGCAAAAGGACAACCGCTGGGAGTGTAAATTTCCAGCCATTCTGAAGTTTTGCAAACTCCGATTGTTGGTGGCCCAGACACTCCCATTGAATTTATTGTCATTGGCTTGCCTTTTACAGGCCTTAACACTATCTAATTGTTGAAGGCATCGTCATGGTGGCCACAGCAGGGCAATGCTACTGTGCTATTAACAAACGCTCATCACGAATTAATGAAGACAATCTTCTTCGATCTTGTCAGCTTTCATTTCCAGTTCTGCTGTCATGAACATCGTCGTCATGAAACGGAATGCAGCATCATGCCTACTGCTTGCTGCGATTGTTGGTGGAGCCCGCTAGGGTCTACCCCTGCGGCCCGATGCAAATTTAATCAAATTTGCGTGTAGCTTTGGCAGGGGCTTGCGGATGTTTTCCTGAAGCTGTAAAGCTAAGATAAAGCGACACTCCCCGGGAAGTTACTCGTACGTAGCTGCGGGCCAAAACTGACACAATGTGTCGAGAGCGAACCCGCTTCCGCCAGAATTGACACATCTGCAATACAAGCACCTGAAGCTCCGTTCAGGGTTTGTGGATGCTAACGGTGCGTGTGCACCATAGCTGACGCACCTGCGCCATCAAGCGTCATGAAGGGTGAAAACTCACGTCGTCTGGGGCCTGGAATTGGGTTTGTCAGACAAAGGGGCGGCTTGCCTGTGCTTTTGGAGACCCGGCTCCCTCATTCCTTGTTTTGAAGCCTATATATAAGCTTCGAGATTTTGCAGCGTAACCTCCCTACTTCCCTGGTTGCTTTGTGAGTTGGTCGTTGTTGTGTTTAGCTGGTGGTTGTGCGAAACAAAAACTTTGATCCTGCTGCGCTGGCCAAAAACTTATAAAAGTTGGCTATTTGGACGCCTGAAGCCCCACATTGAGTATCACCAAGCGCCCGCCCGACTGTTCAAGTGCCACCCACGCTGCCACCAGCCCAAGGCCGCTTTGGATCCCTCGTTCCCAGACCCTGGCCTCCCGCGTCAGCCTCGCAAAAATGACGCCGACAGAGCGGGAAACGGAAGAGAAAGGAAGCGACGCTGCAGGCGGTGATAGGATGTGGCAAAATGCAGACGACGTCGGCACTCCTCATTCTAGCTGTGTGTCACAGCAGAGCATGTTGGGTGCGAGGCAAAGTGGCGGGTTGCAAGTTTTTCATCGGGGCGACGGCACCGGGCAACAGCCGAACTGGACTTGATGGCCGCGATGACTTGTGCCTGGGTCGCATTCTGCTGCAACTCACTGGACTGCTACTCTTGACGCAAGTGTTCTGTGTGGTTGCTGCCAGGTGGGGCTACCATTGGCATTTTGCCTATGTTCTAGAAGTTCAAGCACCTCGCTGTTAAAACATGGTTCGCTTGAGCTCTTTTGTGGTCGGCATATGCCGCAGTCCGCATGGCAGTCGCAGGGTGCTGGAGGTGGTGGGTGATCTGCGAAGTAAGCATGGACTCATTGTTTCAATCCAGCTGTAGCAACCTGCGTGCATGAATGTCCCAGACGTTTGGTTGGCCTACGTATCTTGAGGTACACGGCCAACATGAATATTTTGGATGCTCTGCGCATCACTGTCCGGCTAAGGAGGCCCATGTTTAGCTGGCAACCTGTGTGCATCAACACATTGACATACTCCTTGTGGCCCACTGGCATATGAAATCATATAATTAATGATGTGCCCGGTCTTGACGTGAAGGGTAGGAAGGCAAGTCCTTCACTTCGCTATGTCAGACTTGCAACAGGCATGTACTTAACAGGCTTGCTGCCACGCACACGTTCTTGTAGTTTGCTTGAGTCGAAACAGTGGCTTGAGTCGAAACAGTGGCTGTGACTATGACAGGAATGCTTCCCCCTTGGACATGCTAGGAATGTCGGTTCAAGAGGTAGGAATGTGTACCAGTGATTGCATAGCCACGGACGTACTGCATTACAAGAGGTCGCCATCATGGGTTGCCCAAGGGCATGGGTCAGTGCTGAACTCTCTGGTGGTTGAGCTTCGAGGGGTTACGACCTCGACACCGATCGATCTGTCGTATCGGGAATCTTCCCGTGCAGCTCCAGGCAATTGGACAGTTGACGATTCTGAATCACTCATCCAGGATGTTTGAAGCGTAAGTGGCACTTCTGCGCTGTTAATGGTGTGCTGTTGCCACGTCCAGTGTCATGACAGTTGTGCGTGCACAACGAATCATGTGGGACCTGCTTTGCGGGTGACGGATGCTGTCATCGTTTGTAGGACGCGCATGCCTTTTTTTGAGCGCGTTTTTTACTCATGGCAGCTCTGCATGCCGTGGCCCTTCAGAGGTGCCGAGAGAATTCCATTTCCAGCAGCCGTATCGGGCTGTCGCTGCGGTTAAGGCGATGCCGGAGGGACTTTGATGAGGATTGGATGCGTAGTTGTCGGAGCCGTGTTTGAGCTGGTCCCCGGCTCTGCCGTGCACTGTCAGTGAACTCAACTTTTGCCTTCGGGCCCGCTGCAATGTGGGCCTGGTTGAGTTGGGCTGGGCGCTCGCTTCTGCGAAGCCAGAGAACAGAAAGGAGCATGGCAGCAACGCGCAAAACAGGCAAAGGCTGCTTAGATGTTGTATTGCATGAGTTGCATGCAGTCATGCTACATCCACAGATTCATCCGGGTTTCTGCCCTGTGAAACCAATTTCCACGGCATATGCGGTTCGATTGCCTGTGCTGCAGCAACCTGTGTGTGAGTTGGTAGCTGGGGGCTCAAGGCTTTCAACTTACCTTGGCACTACATGTGGGGATACGGAAGCATTGCTTCAAAGATCGAGACTCACAGGCAACAGAATCCGGAGTTCGAAGACCCCACCAGACATGGCTTTTGTGAGTGGGTGAAGTTTCACGATGTAGACGTGCTGAGACCCATGCCGCTTTCAGTGTCTCAGCGTCGTGCGGCTGTTCGGCAGTTTGTCGCTGACAAGCACGGTCGTGCCTGGACCAAGAAGGTTTGCAGATCCCTTTGCTCTGGTTGGTGCAACCCCACCCTAAACCCTACACCCTATTGCCTAGTAAACCCTAAACCCTAAACCCTAAGCCCTATTGCCTAAGGCCCAGATGATAGACGCCTGGATGGGCCACAGCTGAAGCGAGTCGACCCGGTGCAGAGGCTGGTCCCGGCCCCCGACGCTCAGGCCGGATGCCCAGTATGGCCCAGTGATACCGTATACATATATGTTATATGTGTATATATATATATATATAGACAAACATAGACATATTCATTATTATCAAGATCATAGTTGTTATGAGTATATATATATATAATATAGACAAGAAAAATATAAATATAAATATAAATATAAATATAAATATAAATAAATAAATAAATAAAAAATATAAAATATATATATATATATATATACATACATACACACATATTTATGTAGCCCGAACAGGGGCCCAACTGTGCAGATGTGGCAGATTTCAGGTCGCAGAGCGACGGCAGGCCGCTGTGGCGCGGGTCCGACAGCGGCGAGCGGAGCGCGCTTTGGGGTCCTTGGCCCTCGCCTCATCTGCCCGAGAACTGGGTTTTGGGTTTTGAGGCCCTAAAAACGGGGTTTAGGGTTGTGAGGTTTTAGGGCTTATTTTAGAGTTTAGGGTTTAGGGATCCCAGGATTTAGGGAGCTTTAAGGGGGTTGCCTGCAGATGCAGGCGAGCCAAGATCGACATGGTGACGCGTCGGAAACGAAAGGAGAGCGTGGAGAGGTGGGGACCCGAGAGAAAGGGAATAGCATGCTGTGCGTTCTCAGTTGTGTGTGTGTGTGTCTTTCCTGAGGAAGCTGGTGGGCTTTTCGACGAAAGGGAAGCACTTGGTCAGGCATCTGTTTGATTTGCAAGCTGCTGACTGCTGTGGGTTAGTGCCACTCTTCCAGCCAGTTGCCAGGCTAGCAGGGGGATGGAAGAGCAGCAGCAGTCGTGAAGCAGTGGCATAGTGGCATAGCGCATGGTGTCGTTCCATGCAATGAATAAGCCAGGGGCACAAGCTAACGTTCTGGCTAAAGGCGGTCACATGTATAGCTGAATAGCCGACGCACGAACCAACCCTGCCACGTGCAAGGGCTGTCAGGTCTCATTACTCGATCGAGAATGTAGTTGGTTTTCTGTTGGACTTGACTGCATCAGGACTTCGAAGCTCAACGAGAGCCGAAGAGCGCCGTCCAGCTGCCTGAGGTGCGGTCGCATCAAAGATGCAGATAGTGACATGCCAGCAGCTGCACTTAGTAATAGGACAGCAACATACAGCAACAGAGTATTTGTACGAAGAGGAAAATGCCATGTCAGAGTTGAGCAGGACGCTGGGAGTAGTGGTGGTTGTAGTAGTAGTAGTAGTAGCAGCAGCAGCAGCAGCAGCAGCAGCAGTAGTAGTAGTAGTAGTGGTAGTAGTAGCAGCAGTAATAGTAGCAGTAGCAGCAGCAGTAGTAGCAGCAGCAGCAGCAGGAGTAGTAGCAGTAGTAGTAGTAGTAGTAGTAGTAGTAGTAGTAGTGGTACTAGTACTGGTAGTAGTAGTAGTAGTAGTAGTAGTAGTCGTCGTCGTCGTAGTAGTAGTAGTAGCAGTAGGAGTAGCAGCAGTAGTAGCAGTAGTACCAGTTGTAGAGGAGGAGGATGCGCCGGAGGATGCGCCGGAGGAGGAGGAGGAGTTGTGGTTCTGCAGCTTTGATGAACGAATCCTGTTGTTGGCTCTTCTTCCCCTGCCTGAATTTGTGCCCGCCCACCGAGGCTCAGCTGCTGAGCAAGCTGGGCTCGGATCTGCTCAAAAGCTCGCTGGCGGTTCGCGTTTAGGGGTTGCCGTCAGGGACTTTATGGTTTAGGGTGTGTCGGGGTGAAGGATCTAGCACTGCAGGGTTTAGGGCCTTTGAGGCTGTGCGGCCAGCCGTGCCACTCGGGATTGACGGTGCGAAGCTTGGCGGTTTGCGGTCTGGGGTTCAGGGCTTAGCCTTAGAGTGTATCGCTTAGGTTTCTAGAGCTTCGGAGTTGGAGAATGGGGAAGTGGGCCAGGATTATGCCAGAGCACGGATCCACCAGGCTATGTTCTGCAATGCATGCGGTGGGGTATACACGCTTAATGTAGGCATCGATCTAGCTGTCTGTCTGTCTCTGTCTGTCTCTCTGTCTGTCGCCTGTCTCTGTTTTGGCTCTGTCTGTCTGTCGGTCAGTCTGTCTATCAGTCTATCCGTCTGTCCGTCAGCCCGTCTGTCCGTCCGTCCGTCTGTCCCTCCGTCCGTCTGTCCGTCTGTCGGTTGGTCTGTCTGTCTGTGTCTGTCCGCACATGCATTCATCCATCCATCCATCCAGCTGGCCAGCTAGCCGTCTACCCATCTAGCTATTTATCTATCTATATACCTATCCATCTATCTGTCTATCTACCTATCTATGTGTTTGTACATGTAAATGTACATGTGCATGTACACAACGGAATACAGCACAATGCAATGGAATACAATACAAACAATCCACTGCACTACGCTCCACTGCACTCCACTACACTGCATGCACGGCACTGCACTACACTACAACACAACGCAGTACAGTACAATACAACACCATACCATAGAGTACAACACAACACACTACAGTGCATTGCAATGTATTGGTTTGCAATGCAATGCAACACAACGCAAAGCAACAAAACAAAACAGGATATAATACACACACATACACATACACATACATACACATACACATACACCTACACAGACAGGTACACGCACACGTACACATACACGTTCGTCACATATACAACATTGTATGTGCATGTGTATAATATATATATATATACACACACATATATATGCATACATACATACATACATACATACATACATACATGTATATGACGTGTAGGTGTACATATAGATATGTTCGCGTATACATATGACAAAATAAATAAATGATAAATGAATGAGTAGATCGATGAATAAATAAATAATAAATAAGTGAATAAATAAATGAGTAGACAGATGAAAAAATATATAAGTAAATAAGTGAACAAATAAATGAGTAGATAGATGACTAAATAAGGTAATTAATTAATGAATAAATAAAGAAAAACATGGAAAAGTCAATAAACAAAAATAAGTAAATGGATGAAGGAATAAACAAATAATTGAACAAATAAACAAATAAATAATTAGATGTATCTGTATAAATATATATATATATATGTATATATATATATATATATATGCGTGTGTGTGCGTGTGGGTAGGTAAGTAAGTGAGTAAGTAAGTAAGTAAGTAAGTAAGGAAGGAAGGAAGGAAGGAAGGAAGGAAGTGAGTGAGTAAGCGAGTGAGTGAGTAAGTAAGTACGTAAGTAAGTGAGTGTGTGAGGGTGTAAGCA